ATTAAGCACATTGTAGTAATCTGGACAAGTGGTGATGACAGTGTGAATTAACCATTAGGAGGTCTTTGTACTTCAGGGAAGCCTGCATCTTGTATACCAGCTGTTGCTGCAGAAAGGCCCCCTGGCTCCAGCTTCCATCTGACCATCAAGCAGTAGCTGCAGGTTCAGAAGGATCCTAGAGTCACTGACCTGCTCTTTCAGGAGTGGTACTGCCCTGTCAAATGACAATTCTGAAGATGTCACTCAGTGAAAACAATGCAAACCCATTCAACTTGTTACATCTCATCCAGACCCTTTAGAGACATCAGATATAAGATTTCAACGAAATGTCATTTGCTTCTTGGGCAGCAAACTACCCAGAAGTTTCATGTAAATATAAAAAAGCAGAGGAGACGAACTGACCCATGCAGCATTCCACAGAGAGCAACTCCTTGGTTATTCTGTCATCCCCTACCTCGAGTGGAACTGTCCATTGAAGCAAGAGCAGAAGTATAGGTAGTCCTTGCTTAGCAATAATTGGAATTGTAAACTCATTTGCTAAGCAACGTGGTTATAAGACATGTTATCACGTAACTTCATGCACCAATTTATGATAGTAGTTGCAGCAATCCCAGTTTCTGTCATCAGGCAAATTCTGAGCAGTCACAGCATCCCCCAGTCAAGAGATTACCATTTATAATCTCCTGCTGGTTTCCCCATTGACCTTCCGCATCAGAATCCCACAGTGAAGGTCAAAAATGGTGATCATGTGGCTGGGGAAGGCTGTGATTTATAATTGCAAGCCAGTTGCCAAGCACCCCACGTGATTATGGGATGGTGCGACAGCTGCATTATGAGAACCCATCGTAGGTCCTTGTTCAATGCCACCATAATTTTGAATGGTCACTGAATGAGTGTTCTAATTCTGAATCCCTCCCTGTTGGTCAAGAGGGATACCAGGCCAATGCTGTTGAGGGCTGCTGAGAAATCCAAAAATACTGTGATGGACACATTTCTCAAATCCTTTTAAAGGCTATCCAGAGAGCAACTGAAACTGAGTCCATCCCATATTCAAGCTTGAATCTTAAGTGAAAATGGCCCAATAATCTGGTTCATCTAAGGTGTTCTACTGCTGTACCCTGACTACATTCTCCTAAACATTCCCCAGAATTGGTGATTAGATACAGGGCCATAGTTGTCCCATACAAAGAGATCCAAAAAGGATCTTTTCAGGCAGAGTATACCACAAAACCAATAGCATCTATCTTTCCTGAACAGATGCGTTAACTACCTCTCATTCCAATTCGTCGTACCTCTCAGATACCTTGAAGAGTCAAGAAGCATGGATCAAGCCCACAGGTATCCAGAGAAAGCTAATAAAGTGCTATATCTATTTACTTCAAAGTCTAGGTGAGATGTTACCTGTATCACTATAATAGACTCTCCCCATGAAAAGTCAAGCCTTTGCAAATTGGAGTGACCATGAGCAGACTGCTATGCTAACTACTCACAATGGGAAATCTACCTGCTGCTTCCACCCTAAACTAAACTGCTAGCTGACAAGCCTGCCAGTATTATAAGGGAGAAATAGCAGTGCTTCATCTCAATTATTGCTCCAGCATAGAATCAGACTTGAATCTGTATGTATGATATTTTCCTTCTCTGGCACATTAAGTAGTGTCTTTTATTCTCTGCTTCCTCTTCTGAAGATCCTCAGTAAAGATCCATTAGACTTGGCCAACAAGAGGGAGGCCTCTTGGGACAGTCCCATTAAGTGGCTGGATTGCTTTTTTCAGTGGGTAATAAGTTGCTCAGCAGAACTGCACACAAGATCACATGTTGTAAGGAATATATTCTTATATATTGGATGAAACTTGAAATCCTTTGTCTTAGTAAACCCATCTGTATTTTAGATGGCATCTAGGCTTAATCTTTGTAGCCTTCTTCTTCTGGAAAATAATTTCTTCCCTTGTCCTCAATCCTGTTGAAACTGAGATGGGGCGAGAGTGATATTAGGGGCTAAGTCAGTGGTGAAATGCACTTATCTTCGGTACCGGTTCGGAAATGTGAGCGTGGGCCTCTTCTGCACATGCACAGAGGGTAAAAAACGGGACGTAATGACATCCTGGCAGAGCCTCCCGCTGCCAGCCCTCCTGGTTCACACAAGCTGGATAGATCCAGCCGGATTTCATCAAAGGGCTAAGTTGGTATAATTATGAACGCAGCTGGATAAGTTTGTTTTTTTTCTTTTGTACAATTGTGTCCAATTTTAAGGGAATGCTTGGACAGGTTCCTGCAGTTTTCTTGGCAAGGTTTTTCAGAAGTGGTTTGCCATTGCCTCTTTTCTAGGGCTGAGAAAAAATGGCTGGTCCCAGGTCACCCAGCTGGCTTCATATCCAAGGTGGGGCTAGAACTCCCAGTCTCCCAATTTTTAGTCTGATGCCTTAATCATACATCAAACTGCCTCTCTAGTTTCATATAGCTCAATCTAGTATGAGAAATTCATGCATTTACTTTACTTTATGCTGTCTTTCCCCAAGGAATTCAAAGCAGTTTATAGAGAGATCTGCCTTCATTTTATCTTCGTATCAACTCAGTGAGATAAATTGGATTAGAAGAGAGTTACTAACTCAAAATACAAAAAGAATTTCCTTGGTCAATAGCAGATTTCAGTCTGGTTAGTCTAAAATCTTAACCTACTAAACCATACTAATTCTTTGAAATACTAAACTCTTCACAATAGAAACTATAAATTCTGTCCCTTCTCTAATTGTGCTAGGAATATTCAATTTTTTGGTATTCCTATTAATTGAATTTAGGAAGGTTTCGCTCAATACAGTGGAAAGAACCTGTTAAGTAGAACGTTTCCAATGGATCATTTCTAGGGTTGTTAAGTAATGGTTCATTTTATAGATTAACGTGCTGGTCTTTATATTAGAAAATAATGCACCGGAGACAAATTCCTTGTGTGTCTAATCACACTTGGCCAATAAAGAATTCTAATGCACAGCATCTGATAAGCTGAAATAATTAAAAGCCAGATTTTCACTGAATTGTGGGCATGTAGGTGTTCCTATTTACAGGAAGTCCTTGATTTTTGACCACAGTTGGTACCAGAATTGCCATTGCTAAGCAAGGCAGTTGTTAAGTGAGTTACATCAAGTTTTACTATCTTTTTTGTCACAGTTAAGCGAACCACTGCAGTTGTTAAGTCAGTCAAGTGGTCATTAAGGGAATTCAGCTTCTCCCATTTGTCTTTTACTTGTTTGAAGTCAACTGGAACTGCTGCAAATGGCAATCACATGACTGTGGGATGATGCAGCCTTCATAAATACAGGCCAATTACCCAAATATTAATAATGTAAATGTACAGATGCTATGCAACTGTTTTAATGGTTGTAAATCACTTTTTTCAATGCTCTTGTAACTTCAAATGGGCGGCTAAATGAAAGGTTATAAATAAGAGTGCCTGTAATTTATTATTAAAACAAGTACATATTTTGCAGAGAAATATACTTTATATTTTAATAATAAAAATTTATTTTTCCTAAGAGTATTCCATCTACATAAAATTTTTATCTCAGTCATATATGCATACAAATTATACGTGTGAGTTCATTTTTCCTTCAGCTCTTTTTAATTGCCTAAAATCCTTGGAAGAATTATCAGAAATTTCTAAGATTTATTTCGAAGATTTTTTTCTGTAAAAATAATTTTTCAGTTCTTGGACTAGAAAAAAAAATTCTCATATATACTGTATGCTATACTGTACTCAAATTACTGAAAAATTCAAAAGTTCATAGGATTTTTAGTAGTTAATTTAATTTCAGAATATTGGGTTAGAGACAGTTTTGATAAATTTTCTTTGATTATTCATTAGAGTTTAGGGCAGTAATCAATATATATATCTATATCTATCTATCTATCTATCTATCTATCTATCTATCTATCTATCTATCTATCTATATATATATATATATATATATATATATATAAATATATGATAATACAGAATATAGAATACACCAGGAACTTCTCTTACTCATCTCTTTTCATTATGTATTCCTAGCAATTTATAATAAGCTTTAATTAGGCTTTCCCCCATATACTGTAATTTGAAACTTCTTTTCGAATTAACAAAGTATACCATCCAAGCTTAATAATGCAAATTAAATACACATACACAAACTATTGAATATACTTCCAAATGTGTAGCTGAATTGGGACTCTATTTTTATTTTATTTTTTTGTAATAACAGAATTTCCAATGTTTCATGAATTTTTCCTCCTCCCTTTCATAGATGCCTACATTTCAACTGCCAAAAGGACTTATGTAGCTTTACATCTTTCTTTCTACCATATTTTCTTGCTCTAACAAGGTATTATCTTAAGGCAGAAGATTTCAACTAGGCCAATTAACTTTGGATAGGTTATGTCATTAAATCCTGACCTACACTAAAAAGTTGTCACAAGGTTGAATGGAATAATCACCCTGAGCTTTTTGGGCAAGTGTAACGCTATCATGACAACCTCTTACTTCTTTTTAGGGCAACCATAGTTCTCAGTGCAAGATGTATAATCTAGATTGAGTTGGGTTAGCTTCCTTTAAGCGATCGCTGGTAATTTAACTTCCCTTTTTTAATCTCCTGCATATAGTCCATATTAACTTGAGGTGAGAACAGTGTAGCCGAACTCTTACTTGTGCGAAGGATAGCATGGAAATCTTGGCCATAGAGATGGTTAAGGCATGCATATGTGCATTAAAACATTTTGCCAACTACTTTATCACTTCTGCTCTTCTCAGATAAGTCCCCTTGTGCTGCTCACACCTCCTGATTTCTTAAAGGGTGTAGGATAATGGAAATGCTATACCATGAAGAAAAAGGGTGAGCTGAGCTCTGATGATTTGGAAAAGTTTTGAGGCAGGGGGATAAGGTTTCAGCAGGTGAGCAAGAAAGATAAATTGAATGCGTAAAACTCCAAATTTCTGACTGATTCTCCCCTTTCTCTTTTCTTTGAAGGTGGCCGGATGGGAAACGTAAAAGAAAAAGCAGCCAATGTTCGGTGAAAAGCAATATGTCAGGTAAGCATCTTTTCAGAGCATGCCAGTGCTCAGAATTTTCAGATCAATGTGCTTATATCTCTTTTGTGATACCAGAAGACACTACATTTCCTTGTAGTCCTGCCAGCAAGATATTGAGGAAGTGACTCACTTTTTAGGATTCTTTCCTTTGCTGTAAGAGCGGGACTTTTACTTAGTAGAAAAGGATTTCATCCAAAGATGATAGCACTTTGTGATAACTACAGCAGGGTTTGGGTTGTTCTGTTTTTCCACTGTCCTAAGCAGTGAGGAAAATCATATAATGCTGTATCCAGGTAATAGTCACAGATCAGTTTGGCTTTGTTAGTTACAAATTTGGAAGATCTGGCGTTACCATTTGTAAGTCTTTATATGGAGATTTGCAAATCTCCACAAAGATTTAAAGGGACAGGATCTCCATTAGCTTCCTATCTTGTACTCAAGCATGTATTCCTTTTAAAATTCCCCTTAGATCACATTATTAATTAGACTTTAGTAGCGGAGCAATTATTCCAACTGAGTCTTCTTAAAAATGTATTTATTTTTGTTTATATATTTATTTATATTGTGCCTTTATATCTAATACTCCTTACTTCTCTTTGTTTTCCCCACAACAACCTTGTGAGGTGAATTAGGCGGAGTGATTGGCCCAAAGTCACCCAGCCAGTTTTCATGCCTAAAGCGGGATTAGATCTCAGAGTTCCTGGATTCTAACTTGCTGCCTTAACCACTAGACCAAACAGGCTCTCAAAGTTATTATTATACTTATATAACAGAATGTCGATACTCCAGGGGATTGGAGAAATAGGGGAAATTAAAGGAGATGGGGGAAATCTGCTTTGACAAATTGAAATAAAACAATATCCCCAGAATGTATCCAACTTTGACTTGAACCTATTGAGGAGTTTTTCTGATGTTTTTCACTAGTCCAAAAAAGGCAGTCATGGGGCACCTCAGGATATCGGATGTCAAATGGCAAAGCCTGCAATAGGAAGATAAACCACTAAAGAACTGGGGGCGGGATTCTAAAGGTGAGGCCACAGTGGGTCATGGGGCAAGAGGGAGTCACATGTGGACTGGTGAATGCAAAAGAATGCCAGACCACATCTTTCTCTCTTGTGTGATTTTTTTTTTTTCTATCGCCATTTAGCCTCCATCTCCCAAGACCTGGCCACAATAAAAAAAATTTATTCTCCCTCTTATTAAAATATGCTCTTCAACACTTTACTTTCAGTTCTTGAGAGTTTTTTTTTAAGTGATGCAGCAGTATCGCAATAATTTTACTACCAGGAGGGATATCCTCTTGGTCTTGTGAGAGAGATGAATAGGATCCAGATTTCAGCACTTATAGTTTAGTTTAGCTTTTGCATTAATCCACCTACCGGCAGTGTTGATGGGTTTTTATTTTTTAAATAGAGGCTAAACAAAGAATATAAACCAGAGATTCCCAGTCTTGGTAACTTTAAGACGCATGATCTTCAACTCCCAGAATTCCCTAGTCAGCTGTGGAACATATTCACTTCCATGTTCATAGATCTGAAGAGATGTGTACATGTGAGATACATTGTAGAAATAACATTTTTCATTCTTTTCTCATAAAAATAAAAAAAAGTAGATGGGATTATTTCCTGTTCATAGACATTTGCTATTTGGTTATAACAAGAAGAAAACTATTTTCATAAGGGCTTAGCAGCTTTGTTGCCTTTTACCTGGCATTGCTTTAATTCAGCAGTTACCAAATGGAAAGACACTACAGTGCATATACTTGAAGAATGATCTCTATATAAAAAGAAATATATCACAAGGCTAGGAGAAGAGGCAGAGAGCTCCTATATCTGCACTAAAAAGGTTCTTGGTTTTTTTTCATTTCTTCCAGGAATCTGGCAAGTTGTAGTTAGTTTCCTCTTTAGAAAATATTTCCCAGATTTCTTTACAGAGAATGAGTATTGGGTTTAAGTTCATAACGTATCTGCAAGGGGACAGCAGAAAGGAAGCAGATCTGGCTTCTTTCATCTGTGAGGAGAGACTTAGGGTCAAAAAGAGGCTATAGGAGGACTAAGACCAACCTGACTTCATTCCTCAACCAGAGAACTGCTCTCTGTCTTGCTCTATTTCAGTTCTTTCCTCATTCTTTTTGTTTTATGTTCATCAGCTTTCAAAACTGCAGGCAGAGATTATCCTGACTTTTAACGTATCTACAGCACATAGAAAATTTATGAGCTTGGAAAGTTTGTGATTAGAAAATAAATCATAACACATAAGACCATTATTTTTATGAGTATTTTATGTACTCTCCTTTAACTTGATCCAGATACATTGGTCTCTAACTCTCATAATCCCTCAACAGCATGACTGGAAGTTTTGCTTGGGGGAAGATCGGTGGAACATATAGTTACACCCATCAGTTTGTGGCTCTCTTAGAGACTGTGCATGTCCTTTTGATCTACAGGTAATTCTCGTTCAGCAGCTGCCTTGTTTAGCAACCATTTGCGGTCACAGTGATGATGAAAAAGTAATTTTGCAACCAGTCTTCGCATATATGACCTCCAGATGTCTGTAAAGCAAAGAAAAGATGAATTAAGATCATAACACAGTTGCAATATCACTTAGTGGCTCTTCTGTTTAACAGCCAAACTGCCAGTCTCATTTGTCAGTCTTACTAAATAGTCCTGAAAGGAAACACAACTAGATGAACTAATTCTACTTTATTATAAAGCTACATTAGCAAAATCTTGCAAGTCTGAAAGTGTAAATCTCCTACCGTCTCTTTTGCAGCCCAAGAAGCCTCTTCTGAGCCTCTTGCCCCGCTCTTATCCGACTGCTCCCTATGCAGCATTTCTTGGCCCTGTCTCCCAACGTCTTTCTCACATAGATTGCAGAACAATCTGCATTTGTTTGAGATGCAAGACCAAAATCTTGCCCTTGGAAGCCTTCTTTAATTTACCAGGTTAAAACAATATCTTATATCTGTGTTGCAAAATATGCAAGTGATAATGTACAAAAATTCTTGAGGTGTGCCTATACGGTTGTAACTTTTGACATTTTTTCTTCACTGTTCAGTTGCTAATAATCTTCAAATCATATCTAATAAATGGACTATACTGGGTTATTAATTCCACAAAGCAGATAGGCAGTGTGCCTAAAAGTCAACTCATGGTTCAGTTTTCAGTTTTACTCTTACTTCCATGTTTCAGTAACAGCCATTGTTCTTTGCTTTCACTGTCCTTTTTTCTTTTAAAAGACAGATGCAATGTTATTTATGTGCATCTCTCATAGTGTGCAAAAAAAATAAACAAATCCAGAACCTAAGAACATATTAAGCCTAAGTAACAGAATGTTAAGCCTGTAGATTGGACTGCAATGCTTTAGAAGCAGTTTAAAGTGTCATCCTTTCACATGTTTAAACATTCCTTCTAAAGAAAAGGTATAGCAAAGGGGCTAAACTTGAACTGTTCTTTCTAGTTAGCTTTCTGTCTGCAGGCATTTTTGTTTCTAGTCATCTGTATTTTGTAATTTAGTTGACTAAAGTTAGTCAGTTTTGGGTCAAGTTGTGGAGTGGGTAGAAGTACGAAGTAAAATCCAAACAGAGTGATTGACTACTGTGCCCAAGCTATACCCTCGATAAGATGTAATTGAAATAATGAAAGCTTACAAATTCTGTGCAAGCTAAAGAGTTATAACTGTGAAGTTTAGGATTGCTGCAGTTTTACTTAAAACAAACAGATGAAAAAAACTGTGTGTGTGGGTGTGTATACCAATCTTAATTAGAAGTAAGAAGTATCTGGAGAACAAAATGAGGTCTTTCCAAATTGCCCCAAATTCCTCTGAAAAATCATTTATTTAAGAACTTTTTAAAATTACTGGTAACTTTGCAGCTTAAATATATTATGAGTTGTTGAGTTAGGAAAGGTGCAAGAGATAAATTTAAACCAGTCATAAAATTTAAATTTATTGACTATCCGAGTCCAGCGGACAGTCATTATTTAAGATAATGACTAAACCACCTTTCACTTCCATTTCTCTCACCCCAAAAAATTAATAAAAGAATGAATGAGTCTAAAGGTAAAGATAAAGGTTTCTCTGGCAGTCATGTCCAACTGTAGGCACAGTGTTCATCTCCATTTCTTGGCCTAGGGAGCCAGCATTATCCAGAAATATTTTCTATGGCTAGGTGGACAACATGGTTATACGGCAAAGGCTCATGGATGGCTGTTAACCTTCCCACCCAAGTGGTACCTATTTATCTACTTGCATTTGCATGCTTTCAAATGGCTAGTTAGGGCAGGAGATGGGGCAAGTAATGGGATCTCACCCTGTAGCGCAGAGCTCGGGGCTTGAACCCGGGCTTCAGTTCATCTGCTGCCAAGCTCAGCATTTTTAACCGCTGAGTCATCACTCTGGTTAAATAGAGTCTTCTATTGTGTTATTTGCATGAAGATACATATACCATGATGTTCATAACATCAATTATTCCACTTGCCCTAAACTGTCAATCATGCTGGAGAGAGGAGTTTTTTAGATGTAATGTGGTAAATTACATATATCCAATTGAACGCAGCAAATAAATGCTAAGCAGAATTACATACGACCACACTCCTTTTAAAAATACTTAAAATAAAACAATTAGAACAGAAGATGTGGTTGATCTTTCTTTTGTGGATGTTCCAGCATCTGCCTGTTTTCACAGCGTACATATGCATATTTGATGGTGTAAAGATATGCACCCAAAATGTGCTTCTAGTTGTACTTGCAAACTTCCCTTTGATCGAAAACTATGATAAGGCAGAATTTCTGGTTATAAATAAATTCAACTAAACATAAAATGGTTTGGGGTTTTTTTTGACAAGTTTTATTGGTCATAAAATGGTTTTTGGAGCTGCTTATGGATAACGGGAAAAGCTTGCACCTGCAACTTGCAAGGAAGACAAATGATAACCTGCAAAAAGACAACCTGCAAAAAAGACAAATAATTATACATCATTTGTCTTTTAATATTTGGAAAACTTATATAAGTTTATTTATTTATTTATTTATTTGTATCCTAGCTTTACTATTTTTACATATAATTCAAGATGGTGAACATATCCAGCACATCTTCTTCATCTTGGGTTCTGCTCTCATTCTTGACCCATGCTTGAAGAAAGCTGTCTAACTGCTTTTGTATTCTCCAGTATTAAAAACATATTCTGCATATTCTACACTTTTCAATTAAAAAAAGACTTGCCAAAAGTTTCTTTAAAATTGGAAAACAATCTGCTCCAAACTTTCTCTTTCTGTTTGGAGAAATGGGGATGAAGAAGTCATATTAGTGCTAACATAGCTTCCAGTCAATCAGAGACTGCAAATAGAGGTAATCTTCGACTTATGACCAACACTTGTTCAATGAATTGTGCCCGATTTTATGACCTTTTTCCCATGATTGTTAAGTGAATTACTGTAGTTGTTACAGTAAGTGGATCCTGGGACTGTTAAGAGAATCCAGTTTCTCCATTGATTTTGCTTCTTAGAAGCCAGCTTGGAAGGTCCCAAATAGCTATTACATATCCCAGGCAATGCAACTCTCTTAAATATACACTTGTTGCCAAATGCCCAAATTGTGATAATATAACTGGGGTTGCTGAAAGGTCATAAATGTAAGGGTTGGTCACAGATCACTTTTTTCAGTGCCATTGTGACTTTGAATGGTCTCTAAATGAATGATTATATGTTGAGCACTACCTGTACTTCTGCTGTTGCCTTACAAGATAAGATCTTTCTTGTAGATAGTCATCTTACAAGCCACTCTTTATAAATACAAGATCATTGTGTTTTCCTGTCTAATTAGCCCTTTTTTAAAAAGCCATTACAAGTGATTCTCTATCTGGGAAGACTTTTATTGCTTTTACGCATTCCAGAGATTTAGAAAGTCCTCTATGGACCAGAACAGAAAATGGAATTTCTTCTTTTCCTGATAGTTATTTGTCTTAATCGTTTAAGATAAACGATATCTTGTGATCAGATTAAGCTCTGAGAAAGGATTGACAGAACTGTTTTTTAGGGCTGTAGGTGCATAGCAGAGCACAGTTTGCCTGTGAAAAACTCCATGCTTTTTCTCGGGCATATCCACACCAAGATCCTTACTTAAACTAGAGCAAGACTTTTTGATCAATATTGACAATATAGACTAATAGAATCACTTCATGTAACAGCTGTCAATATTCCATCTAATCCAGTGTTTTTCAAACTTGACAAATTTAAGATGTGTGGACTTCAACTCCCAGAATTCCTCATCCAACATGCTGATCTAAGCACTTTCATTTGGAAGTTCTTAGATCAATTTACTTACTAAATTATGTATTCTTTATTGTTGGGAAATTATAAATACCCAAGATGAAAATAATGATGTTTTTTTACTAATAAAATAATATATTTGCCAAGATATAATGCTATAAAGCATTACATGGCCATTTTGAAAGTCTATTAAATATATTTGATTACACTTGATTCAGTTTATTGTTTCTATAGTTTGCTAATGCAAATTTGTTTTTATTATATTGTTCGTTATCAGCCCCTCCTTCTTCTGCCCAGTACAAAATTTTCAGTATTTCATTCAATTTTGTCTATGGAAATGCGTATATCTGACTATAGGAAAAATATCTGACTATAGGAAAAATACATGCAAACTGCCAAGTATATCTCTAGGAATATGTTCATTAGGTGTTTTGAATTGGCAGTAGTTCCATTGTGAACAAAGTGGCATGATTGTGTGACCTCTATAGGTGCTAGTGGTTAGTTGGGAAGTATGTATTTTATATATTAAAGGATGTCCAATATGGAAAATGTAATATGAGAATCATCTCTCAGCCATTTCTAGGAATCAGAGAAGTTCGTTCATACAACAGTAAACACATAATAGATATTAATAGCATGGTCGTTTGAGAAGAGCATGAAGTTTCTTTTCAACAAAGACCCACATAATCAGAGTTGAGTTGTGCGCCCACACACAAAGTTTCAAGACATGCATGCAGTCCTTGAACCTTTTGTATATGCTGAGTAAAACCATGGAGCTCTATTAAGAAAACATCCTGCAGCTATCTGTGCATTCTTTAACCCTTCCCCACTTTAATTTCAGAGAAGGGGCCTCAGGGGAAATAGCAGGCAAAACAGAGGGAGAGAAAAGAAGCAGGCAGAGAAAGACTGGAGAGCAGATTCAAAAAGTAGAGAAGCCAAAAAGGCTGGAAAAAGGACCATAAGATACAACAGTGGGAAGCCATTGCCTGATGAAGGAAGGAGCACCGAGCATTGCCTGCCAACCCAAAAAGTTTTGTTGGCTGGAGGATAGCCCATCTGGCACACCTTTGCACATCCTTAGGGCCAAACTGGTTCAGCCCATAGCTGAATGGGAAGCCTTCTCAGCCAAATTCAAGAGAGGTTCTGTGCTGTTGGTACTAAGAATAAATATAAATGAAAGAGATGCAGAGATGATAGGACAAGCTGGCCAAAAAGGCAGTTTGGTTGATGAAAGGTAATTTATTATTGGCTATTTCTCAGGCAGTGAAAAATCAAATGCCAAGGCTGTGTAGTCTGCTTTCCTGTGATTTCCCTACCGGTTGCTGGTAGAGAAGTGGGAGTGGGTGAGTAGGGATTCGAAGAGCACAGTGGGAGAGGACATTGTTATTTCCTATTGATGGGAAAAGTCAAGGTTATAGAAAGTGGGTGGAGTAATTAGCAGGGATCATCATGCCTGCTGCTTCTTCTCCTTGCCGAGAGACAAAGGGCCTTTTATGGATATACATGTGGTTATGTTTTCCTCTGCTTTTTATCACTATTTCAGGAAGCTTTGGGGGTTGGGGGGGGAAAGTATTTCAGAATACTGAATACAGAGCAAGCTAGCCAGGCCTTGCCCCTGTCACCCAGTCAGGAAGTAGGACTTGAAAAGCCTTGTAGAATCTACTCTGAGGGAAGATGGGCCATGGAAAAGCCTCCACCTTCTGCCTGTTGTTGACAAAGCAAGGGGGTTTTTGTATCCTGAGGCACTGCAAAGTAGCAAATGTAGCTGCTTGTCCTTCTTAAAAGAACTGATGTTATGGTGAGCTTTTAAGTGATTTTGTGCTCATTTTGTAAAAAACAAGAGAACCTGAACTGTCTTATAAAACGGTGCCTAAATTTCAGTTTTAAAGAAATAAATGAACATTTTATGTAAACTTTATGTTCAAAGGACAAATGTATTTAACTAACAGATATTGGTAAGTAGCCACAAAGGAGTAGTTGTTACTGTCTTGCTCTATTTCTCTATGGAGTGTGAGTGATGGGCAAGAATGCTTTCTAGTCTACTTCAGTAGTCTTAACCTCTTGCAGCTGCTGTTTCATCTTTTCAGCTTTGACCTCTTGGCTGCTTTCTCCTACAGGGTACATCCCTAGCTATTTGGACAAAGATGAGCAGTGTGTTGTATGTGGAGACAAAGCCACAGGATACCACTACCGCTGTATTACCTGTGAAGGCTGCAAGGTAAAAAATGCTTGAAAAGGTGTGTCTCAACCAAGGGCCTTCCACATCTGCACCTGATCACAGCAGCAATACAGCCCAGCAACCTTCCCCTCCCCAATAGCCTTCTGACATTGCTTTCACCAGAATCTCAAGTCATACCCAAGGCAGCTTAAAATCATCCTCGGTATACAGTAATGCTTTGCTCTTTAAACAGTCAGTAGGTCATGATAGTTTTACCATGAGCACGATCTGACAGTGACCATCCAGTTAATGCTGCAGTCAAGTATCCTCTGGGATTAGGAACTTTTGGCCACTTGGGCTGTTGCAGGTATGCCTCTTATTCTCCAGCCCTTTGGTGCTGTCTTCCAAGTTCAGTCTGCTCCAGGCAGCATGAGTGTCCTTATTCTTTCAAACCAGATTGTTCCCAATTTCAGAGACTTGGATCAGCCTGAGGGAAGCAATATGGTGAAGCAGAACAGAGGTTTCTCTTTGCTGTTTCATGATGCAATTCATCCAATGTCTGTCAGTTGTTTGGGCTAACAGAATAACAGAGTTGGAAGGAACCTTGGCAGTCTTCTAGTCCAATCCACTCCTCAGGCAGGAATCCCTATATCATTTCAGGCAAATAGTTGTCCACTCTCTTCTTAAAAGCCTCCAGTGATGGAGCACCCACAACTTCTGAAGGAAAGCCGTTCCACTGATTTATTATTCTCGCTGTCAGGAAATTTCTCCTTAGTTCTAGGTTGCTTCTCTCCTTAATTAGTTTCCATCCATTGTATCTTGTCTTGCATTCTGGTGCTTTGGAACATAGGTTGACCCCCCTCTTCTTTATGGCAGCCCCTCAAATATTGGAACATTGCTATAATGTCACCCATAGTCCTTTTGCCTACAGGTTTTACAGGGTTGCATACAGGTTTAGCACTCTTCAAAAATATTGCTAGACTTATGTTCAAATGGAGCTACGTTCTTAGTTGATAATCATGCTGACTTAGAATTCATTTCCACAAATCCCAAGCAGTTTACTCTTCTATCAAAACTTATTTCTTTCCTTACCAAAGTCATCTATATTGAGAGTGATTAGTAGATGTTTTTCTACTAGCTGGTGACATTAGGTAGGAGAGGAGGGAAACAAAGCTTGGGATATCAATTCATCCTTATTCTGAACGTGTCTGCAAACTGTAAATAAGATCAATGCCATTTGCTAACAGCATGTCTATGACAGGATAGGTTGCCAATAGTAAATTTTATGCCAATATAATTTTTTGCTACCTCAAGAAATGGTATGTGACACTTCAACATGGCTGTGAAAAATTCCTACATCCTCGGTACTGGTAGTTCTCAGCATACAACCATTTATTTAATGAACGTTAGAAATTAACAACGGCACTGAAAAAAGTAACTTACGACTTATGGACTTTATGACTGGTCTTCACACTTATGCTGTTGCAACATCCCCATGGTCACATGATCAAAATTTGCACACTTTCCATGTATTTATGATGGTTTCAGCTTCCTGGGTCATGTGATCACCATTTCTGACTTTCCAGACAACTTTCAACAAGCAGCTAATGGGGAAAGTTGTATTTGCTTAATAACCATATGATTCATTTAACATATGAAATGATTCACTTAACAGTCGTGAAAAGATGTCATAACATCAGGTATAACCCAACAACTGCCTTGCTTAGCAATGGAAATTTTGGTCCCAATTTTGGTTCATAAATTGAGGACTATCTGCACTTTGAATTAACCCACTTCAGAAATAATAATTATGTGTATAGTTCTGCTGCATTAGGTAAATCATCCCAAACATTTTACATGGCATCACACTGTGTCTTCTGCAGAAAGTAATGTGGGTTATTTGGCCACTTGGTGATAGGAAATAGAGATGACAAGCAGGCATAACATACATGGACCAAGTGAGGAGGATTCATAAAAACTTTTTGAGCTAGCCTTTATTGCCAAGAAAAAAAGATTAGACTATAAAAAATGGAAAAGGAGAAGAAGCCTTAAGAAGCTACAAAAACATTGGGAATGGTTTGGCTGTGGGAAAACGGTTAGATCCATTGTATTTTTCCTATCTGTCAGCCTTTCTCAATGCCACTATCAGTATCCCAAATCTGCAAATATGACTAGTTAGTTATCATAGTTGTAGGGTACATGTAGGGTTATCTGTATTAAGGCACAGAGATACTAATTTGCTCAAAGTTTTATAATGTTATATCCCAAAGGTGCTTTTTTCAAGAGGCAACTGGACTTTCTGGTTTTTCTTTGAAGACATTTTGCTTCTCATCCAAGAAGCTTTTTCAGCTCTGACTGGATGGTGGGGAATGGAAAGATTTATACTCCTTGCAGACAGCTTGTCATTTGCATTATTTTAGGGAGTCATTAAGGTCACCTGGAGGTTTAACTGTGTCACCCTGGGGAAACCACCTCATGCATATATTGAGTCCCCAAAATCCCAAAAGAGGGAACTCCATAATATATATCAGCTGATTGCCAAAGACGACTTCACGAGAAGTAATTAACATCTGAGGTAACTTCTTTATTAACTCAAACAGGAGACCATAACACGTTCTCCTCAGAACAGAACAGAAAACAAACGCTGACAGCTCTTATATACTCGCTGTCAGCGTGGCTAACCAATCAGAATCTTTCCCCCTTCTGTACACTCCAACAGGGGGCTCAAACTAGGGAACCTGCTCAGTACACAACACTCCACTCAGACCAATTTCAGCAACATCAACTCTGTCACCTACAACATTGCCAAACCTCTAACCACCTTATTAGCTCCTCTAATTGGCAACACCACCCATCACATCAACAATTCACAGGACTTCGCCAGCAAGGTTTGGAAATTAAAACTTGACCCGAATTATACTATAGTTTCCTGTGATGTGTCTTCTCTCTTCATCTGCATTCCAACTATCAAAGCTGTCATGGTAGTGAAAAAATGACTGCTACAAGACAGCACCTTAGGTGACAGAATCAACCTCAGCTCAGACTACTTATGTGCCATGCTGGACCTCTGCTTGACCACTACCTGTTTTAAATACAATGAAGATTTCTACAGACAGAAACACGGCTGTGCCATGGGTTCACCTGTGTCCCCCATTGTGACCAATCTCTACATGGAAGAGGTAGAAATCAAAGCCCTAGACTCCTCAGGAATTCCACCTACTCACTGGTATAGGTATGTGGACGATACTTGGGTCAAAATCAAAATACAGGAATTGGAAGCATTCACCAAATACATCAAATTCACAGGGAAAGATGTAAAGGAAAATAGTCTCACCTTCCTGGACTGTGCGGTACCCATTAAGGAAGACAGAAGCCTTAACATTGAAGCAAACCCACCCACAGAGATCAATATTTACATTTTGATTCTCACCACCCACTGGAGAACAAAATGGGGGTCATCAGAACCCTACACCACTGAGCTGAAGGCCTGCCTACCAGCAAAGATGGGCAAGAAAAAGAACAAAAACACATCAAGGAAGCCCTCATAACGTGTGGCTATCCCAAGTGGGCCTTCATTAAATCTCAAAAAAGACCTTACATTATTTGTCCTCCATGACAGATAATGAAGAAAACAATAAATGAAGCAACATTGTCATTCCATACGTTGCAGTTGCTCAAGAGAATCTTATACCTTGTACGTTGTACGTTGCTCAAGAGAATCTTCAGCCAACCTAAATATGTGCACACTTCAAACCCAAGAATACACTAAGGCAGAAGCTTGTCCACCTCAAAGATAAAACATCCTGATAAAAACTGACCATCTTGGTATATGCAGTACAATACAGTGAGCCATGTGCAGATCTGTACATTGGGGAAACAAAACAACCACTTCATAAGCGCATGGCATAACATAGGAGAACAAACACATCAGGACTAGATTCAGCAGTCCACCTGCATTTAAAAGACATAGGCCATTCTTTTGAAGACAACAAAGTCCACATTTTTGACAGAGAGGACCGCTGATTTGAAAGAGGGGTCAAAGAGGCCATCTATGTCAAAATTGAACAGCCAACTCTTAACAGAGGGGAAGAGATTGGATCTCCAATCTACAATACAGTTCTTTCAACAGTTCCAAGAAGGCTCCACATCCATTTGCACCATTCAGGTGACCCTGATGACACAGAAACCTTCAGGTGACCTTAACGACTCACTAAAAGAAGACAAATGACCAGCTGTCTGAAAGGAGTATAAATCCTTCCATTCCCCACCATCCAGTCAGAGCTGAAAAAGCTTCTTGGATGAGAAGTGAAAAGTCTTCAAAGAAAAACCAGAAAGTCCAGTTGCCTCCTGAAAAAGCACCTTTGGGACAACCATGACCTGGATCAAGGGTCACCAAACTTTCAGACCTCCGGGACCACTAAATTCATAATTTTAAATCCTGCAGACCACTAATACAAATCAAGCTTGCTGAAGCGCTTGGACTCCCAGTGACGGGATGGGTTCTTCAGGCACTTAGCTTGGCCGCCTGTTTCTGCAATCTTAAACACTCAAAAGAGCCATTTGACTCTTTTCCCAGTGAAAACAAAACACCAAGAGCCACAAAACCTGGGTGGGCAGGGCCAACTCAACTCCCACCCAGTTACATGAACCCACCCACCCAGCCAGCCATGCCTAACCAGGTTTTGTTGGCTCCCTATGTTTTCTTTTCTTTGGGAAACAGGCATCTGTCTCTCATCTCCTTCTCTCTCACTTTCTTTCTATCTGTCTCCCTCTTTCTATCTCTCTCTGTCTGTATCCCTCTTTCTCTCATCTCTCTCTCTCTCTGTCTTTCTTTGTCTCTCTCTCTCTCTCTGTATCACCCTCTTTGTCTTCCTCTCTCTCTCTTTCTCTCTCTATCTCTGTCTATCTTTCTCTCTGTGTGTCTCTCCTCTCTCTGTCTCTCTGTCTCTCATCTCTCTCTCTCTCTCTCTCTGTCTCTTTCTCCCTTTCTCTCTCTCTGTCGCTCTCTCATCTCTCTCTCTCTCATTCTGATTCTCTGGTGCGCTCTCTGTCTCGCTTCTTCAACCTTTGTTGGTGCTGGACACACCTCAGTTGCTCAGGGAGACACATAACCTGCACTCCACCCAGAGACACTCACCCAACCAAGATGCGGCTAATGCTCCAGGAGGAGGAGGGGATGCCATCTCCCCCATTGTGAAACGTGCTACATTTACCTGTACTGCAAGGTGCTGCAAGAGCAGTGGGCAGGCCATGGAGGTGCCAACAGCAGCGGCAGAGAGAAATGGCTGAGCTGGGCCAGTGTCTCGGGGTGGAGAGGCAGTCACATGTCTCCTTGAGCAACCGAGGTGCGCACAACACCAAAAAGGGCCAGAAAATGTGCCCATGAGACCCAGCAAGAGATGAAGCAACTACAGGGTGCTTCGCTCCCACTCTGGAATATTGAGTGAGTCTCCATCCGCTGCCCTTGCCCTTACCTTCTAAGGCCAGGCAAGGAATGACCTGGAGGGGAGGGCGAGGGGCAGGGCCAGCCTCTGGTGGGTTCAGCCGAAAGGGAGCCACAGCAGGGGGATGAAAGAGCTGCAGGTTGTCGACACCCATTGCTTTGGCCTGCCTGCGCCACCGTCCCCCTTGCCATAACAGCACCTTTACCTCATTCTGGCCAGCAAGGGCTGCACTACTACTTGCATGTTGCTCCACCTGCAAAGTTGCAAGTTGCATGTACCACCCTCTACAGTGGAGATTTCCAGCCCCACCACGAGCTGCCTGGCCAGTCCCATATTCCAGAGCTCTAGTCACAGGACTGGCCCATTGGTCATCCCGGAGCAGTTCCTCCACCCACGTGCACTGCGGACCACCAAAATTTTCTCGCCGACCACCAGTGGTCCACGGACCATCGGTTGGTGATCTCTGACCTGGATGACTGAGAATCTCCATAGACATCTATAATGTTATGTTTTTGAATCGATATCTTTCTGGTCCAAATTCATTACTCTGGCTACCACGCTTTAATTACAATTATGTATAATTAGCATTATTAGAGAACACAAAATATTTAAACATAATGTCTGGGAGAATTTATGGTATTTACAATCAATATTAAATGCCCAAAATGAAAGGAAGAAGAAATTATGGGGTTTGACTAATTAGCAATGATTTAGCAGTAAAGAAATTTGGAATATGTGGCTGACAAAAGATTGTATAACACTGTAAACGGATTTCTGCAGACAAAATAAACAGGGTTTTTTTTTAAAGACAGGGAGGAGAGAATTAACATAACAAGAACCTATGCTGCTTTAGGGTCAGTGTTGGACCCTGCAACAGAAAATACAGGTAGTCCTCGACTTATAACCACAATTGAGCCCAGAATTTGTGTTGCTAAGTGAAAAATTTGTTAAGTGAGTTTTGCCCCATTTTGCGACTTTTCTTGCCACAGTTGTTAAATGAATCACTGCAGTTGTTAAATTAGTAACACGGTTGTTAAGTGAATCTGGCTTCCCCATTGACTTTGCTTGTCAGAAGGTCACAAAAGGGAATAACGTGACCCTGGGTTGCTGTGACCATCATAAATGTGAACCAGTTATCAAGCATCCGAGTGTAAATCACGTGATCATGGGGATGCTACAAGGATTGTCAGTGTGAAAAATGGTCATAAGTCACTTTTTACAGTGCCGTTGTAACTTTGAACAGTCACTAAATGAACGGCTGTAAGTTGAGGACTACCTGTATAAGGGACATTCTACAGCCATGTATATTGTAGGGAAATCACTCCACAAAAGTTTTCCTACAATTAACTAAATTGCAGTATTTCACTACACTTTCACTTAGGGATTGCAATGTGTCATTTAGTGGTGGCCTCTTGCAATCCATCTCTTGAGATGGCCATCTCCTTCTCTTCTAGGAGGCCTATTTCTGGACTCAGTAGCAATATGACTTGGAATTCAGCTCTGTAGATTCCCTGTTACAACACATGCGTTTTCTAGCTCAGGGGTGTCAAATTCAAGGCCTGTGGGCCAGATCCGACCCACGGGATGCTTAGATCTGGCCTGCAGGTCCACCCTGGAAACAGTGAAGGATCAGCCTGCAGTGCCTCTACCAGTGAAAATGGAGCATGTGAGAGTCATGGGCGGCCCTCCTGTTTTTGCTGGCAGAGGGTTGCAGGAGACCGTCACAACTGAAAATGGAGCTCGGTAGCCCATTTTTTCTGGCAAAGCGCTCTGCCACCACAGACACCCCTGGCACGAATAATGTCAAGCTGGCCATGCCCACCCCGGCCCCCCGAGGTCAAACACAACCCTAATGTGGCCCTCAATGAAATCGAGTTTGCCACCCCTGTTCTAGGTGATTTTTATTAATGTTATTTTTTTAATGCTATTACTTTGACATTGTTTAAATGTGCTTGTTTAAATTCAACAGAGTGTTTTTTTTTTCAATGTAAAGTGCAGTGGATGTTATAATAAGAGGAATAAAATCTTCAAATCTTGGCCTCATTCAATAATTCCCCCCTCCCCCCTCCCCCCAGTCAACTTCCTATTGGATCTGGACTATGGGGGTTCAGATCAAACACAGTTCAAAGACACAATTCAGCAGAAAAAATAGGTTTTCCTTTTGTAATTGCTCAATTTGAAAAATAACTACTTTGTATACAGAGAGGCAAGATAATGTTAAGCACACACACAAACAATTGGTTGCATGCTTGAAATGCAGACGTTTTCTACAGAGGACTTTAAGAATTTTTTACAATTTGTTGTAGTACTTCAGATTCCTGCAAAGTTGTGTTTACTTTTCCTTGAATGGGGATGGAGAAAAGATGAGTGGACATTCAAAGATTCTGGATGGAGATTGAGTAAAACACTGTCATAAAACCTGATTTCAGTGCCAAATTTAACATAGAAATATAAAGTTTGTAACAATCATAAATATATCTTGGAATACACACTGAGTATATTTCCCTCTTAGTTATTAGTCCGTTTTTCCTCTCCCCCACCTTTTATTTGCTTCAAGAGCCATCCTAATGCAAGCTGCCTTTTTTCTTTTTTTGCCTTTATTTATACATTATGAAAATCGTATGTTTCACATGGTCTGACAAGATGTTACTTTTGGTAGCTAGAACCTTCTAGATAGGACCGATCTTCCCATTTTGCAACAACCTCTGTGAGAAATGAGTTAAGTTAGTAAGTTAGTAAATTTATAGACTCCCTTCTTATATACATGACTCTGACCAGCTCATAATTAAAACAATTAAAATCCATTTTCTTGCACAGAAAGACAAAAAAGATAGTGCCTTTATATATCCATCTGTATGATGGATACAAATAGATTGTACCTGACATATGGCTAAAAAGCATTACCTTTGCTTTCTTTTTATTTACTTTAAAAAAAACAATCAAAAGGTAAAAGAAACACAGACTTAAATAGAAAACAAACAAACTGTAGGCAGACACAGTGCCTTGGGCAGAAAATTCAAGTGGCATCATAAATCACTCAATTGTGGCAAAATGCCAGCCAGCTCTGGGTTGAAGTGTGGAATTAGTCCTGGGCTGAAAAAGTTTAAAAGCTAATAGTAGGCTTAAGAAAAATTTAAGGGTTGGTAATGGGGAAAAAGTACTAGCTCGCAGATGTGATCCTTCACTCAGAAGGCTGAGTGAAATAAAAAAAAACCTCTAATGATGGCTAACCTTTTTGCCATCACGTGCCAAAAACGGGGGGAGCGCAGGGGGGTTGCATGCGCATGTGCCCACACCCATAATGCAATGCCCCCCACTCGTCCCCCATGCATGCGTGTGCGACCTCCTGCTGCCTGTTTTGGACCTGGCAGGCCTCCCTGAAGCCTCCTGGGACCAAAAACGGGCCAGGGGGGAATGCTACACCCCCCCGTGGCCCGTTTTGGTATGGGGGTGCACCAGTCCCCCCATCCCTGTGCATGTGTGTGCGACACACGCACATGCGCATATGTCTCCCGCATGCGCCCTGCCCCCACGCCAGAGACCCAAAAATCAGCTGGCTGGTGGGAGGTGCACGTGCATGCACGGCAGAGCTGAGCTGGGCGATGGCTTGCATGCCCACAGAGAGGGCTCCGCGTGCCACCTGTGGCACACATGCCATAGGTTCGCTATCACCGTCTAGAGTATCCAGTAAAAAGAGAATAGTTTCGTAGTAAGCTGTATTCTATCCTAAGAAACCATAGTACCAGAATATGTCAAGGTGACTATATTTTGGGTTAGAACCATAAAAACACATACCATTTGAAATCCACAAATTCACATTGATAGCAACCTACTGTTCCAAATACTAAAATGATATCTTTTTACCCCAGTCATCTCTATGATTATAGGTCTGTCACTGATAGTTATAGCAGAAAAAAAGCCTGTTTAGTTAGAAAGGTCAATAGCACTACATACAACAGGGCTGTGTCCTCTTTGATAGAATATAGAAGCTCGAGGGTTGGGGAAAGTGGAATATGGATGGTTAGAGAATCAAAGAATACCCGCTCAGAACTGCCTGGGTCTCACTGTGTTCTCTCTTCCACAGGGCTTTTTCCGACGGACCATTCAGAAAAATCTGCATCCAACATACTCCTGCAAATATGATGGTTCCTGTGTCATCGATAAGATCACCCGCAACCAGTGTCAACTTTGTCGATTCAAGAAGTGCATTGCTGTTGGCATGGCCATGGACTGTAAGGGCATTGCGCCCACTGTGGAGAACTGGGGGGGGAGGGGGAGTTGGGGAGATGGGGATGGGAGTGGTTATAGGGAGCAGAGGAGAAGAAATGTGCCCAAGAATGGACGCACGTTGAAGGATCAAAAAAGGGAAATAATTGGTGTGTAAAATTACATAGGGATCTTCTTTGAATCCCTACATTTTGAATCCTTGGAATAGCGTGAGAGCTGTCCTAATATTCCCTAAGGTTTTAATTAAGCCATCTTATCAGATGGCTATTCATAATTCCCTTTGGCACCTTGGAATTGGCCAAATTGGTTGCAGAATTCTGATTGGCTCTATGTGAAGTGCCCCCTCCTCTCATACCTCTTCATTCTTCACCACCCTCCTAGTGGTGCTGGATGACTCCAAGAGAGTAGCCAAACGGAAGCTGATTGAAGAGAACCGGGAGAGACGGCGCAAAGAGGAAATGATGAAATCCCTTCAGCACCGGCCAGAGCCAACCCAAGAGGAATGGGAGCTGATACGCATCGCTACGGATGCACACTGCAGTACCAACGCCCAAGGCAGCCATTGGAAACAGAAGCGGAAATTCCTGGTAAATTGTACTGGCGAATAGGGTACCCTGTTCTGTTTGTCAGAATTGATACAATACACAGTTTTACGTATTTCTTTTCCTTCTTTATTTTGGATTACGTATAATCCTTCCTTAACAATAATTCATTTAGCGGCTGTTTGGAATTACAGTTGCACTAGAAAAGTGACCTATGGACTGTCTCATGGTGCCTCCGGCACCTAGTCACAATTTGGGCATTTAGAAGAGTTGCAGCATCCTGCAAGTCCACATGATTGCCCTTTGTAACCTTCCTCACCAGCTGTTGACCAGCAAAGGTCAATGGGGAAGTCAGAAAGAGGTCGCAAGTTGCAATTGCGTGATGTCTCATTAAAAAATCACAGGTGATTCACCTAACAGTCACAACTGGGACTGCTAGAACTGCACTAAGCAGTGCAGTCACATGGTTTTTCACTTAACCACTTTACTTAGCCACAGTTTTCAGTCCCAATTAAGCTAGGACTGCCTGTAATATTTTCTGCCCCTATTTTTCTTTTGAAAGTCTATGTCTTTCTGTAGATCTCTTTACCCCAGGCTTTCCCCAGAATCTGATAGATTAAAAATAAATCCATCAGAATAAGTGAATATATGCATAATTTACTGGGCATCAAGTAGTTACTAAAAAATATACATGCAATTTGTAACATAGTTCTGTATCGTGCTGCTGTTGAACTTACGTGTTTCTCATTCTTGGCAACTTGAAGATGTGTGGATTTCAGCCCCCAGAATACTGGTTGGGGAAGTTCTGGGAGCTGAAGTCTATGCATCTTCAAGTTGCCATTGTTGTGGAACACTGTACGAATCATTGCAGAGCCAACTGAGCATCGGAAGTTGTTTTTTCTTTGTGTTCTCTTTCTTAATCATTGGAAAAAGAAGCAAATGCACAGTTAGAGTTTGTGTACTTAGAATTATGCATCTGGACAAAGTATATTTACATTAACTAATTAAGATGCTTGGTAAATATACATTTCAGCTATATGCTCGCTCAGGGATGTCAAACTCAAGGCCCGGGGGCCGGATCGGGCCTGAGGGGTACTTAGATCTGGCCTGTGGGGCCTGGAAACAGTGAAGGACCGGCCTGTGCTGCTTCTGCCATTGAAAATGGAGCTCTGTTTTCGCTGGCAGAGGGTTGCAGGAGGCCGTGGTAGCTGACAGTGTTCAGGAACTAGTTTTCAATGGCAGAGTGCTCGGGCCACTACAGGCGCCCCCGATATGAGTGACATCCAGCTGGCTATGCCTGGCCACCCTGGCCATGCCTACCCCGACGTCAAACACTACCCTGATGCGTTGTGTTTGACACCCCTGTGCTAGCTCTTCTGAAGTTCTCCATTTATGAATAAAAATAAGAAAGCTACTATGAATTAGGCCAAAGTGGAGCTTTGTACCATTAAAAAGTACCATTTTGCACCCAAAAAATCTTAAATTCTGTGCTAAAATCACATGTATTTTATGCATGTACCCTTTAATAAAATGCTGTAGATTTATCCCAAATTGTGAGCACCTTTTAAAAACTGAGGCATTTAGCTGTATGGTGTCTCTCTTAAACTTTTTCTCATTCCATTTATTATTAATTTGAATTTGAATAAATTTCAGACCAGAAATATAGAGTATAATTTTTAAAATCTCTTTTTCATTCATGTTCATATATAAATTGTCTGGCTAATATATAAACTTATTTTATTTCAGTACAGGTGATAAAAGCATATGCCCAGCCCTTGGAAAAAAAAAACCACAATATTATATGCATATAATATTATTTGCGCTTTTGCTTTTGAAAATGTACAAATTTCTTGTTGGGCGATTAATGTGAGAAAATTGTAATCCATCTTGAATGTTAACAATTATACTAAACTCAGAGTCAGCGTAAACCTGATGATAAAGCTGATAATTCAACCATGTTTTATTAAGATTGCTTTCAGTGCCATAATTTAGTATAGTATTTATCAGTCTTGGCAAACTTTAAATGTATGGGCTTCAACTCCCAGAATTCCCCAGCCACCTACTGGCTGGATAATTCTGGAAGTTGAAATCTACACATCTTAAAAGTTGCTGAGGTTAGAATATACTGACTTAGCAGATTCAGTGCTGCAGAGGTACCTTTGAAGGGTTAATTTGCTTGAGCAAATGGACACAGCTGTGACCTCTCAGCTCTGATCAAGGACAGATGGAATGGAAACCCCTCAATGCCACCCCTCTCTCCTCCCCTATTTCTAAGCGGAGCAGGAATTGCTGGCTCGGGGTGCCCTCTGCTGGCCATAATCAGTTAATGTCAGGGCAGGTCAGGACATGGAGGTCACAGAAAGTGAGGCTTGAGGGTGGGGAGAGGAAATAGGCCAGCAGACTGAGGGGGTCATGGGTTAAGATTACTCTGTCTGTTCCCGCAGCCTTTATAGTATGCAGAAGTTCCTTACTGAACAAAGGAAGTGGTCCTGAAATTTAATCTAAAGGTGGACTAAAAAGCATCACTGTTCAGTTCATATGATGAAACTAAACAGGCCCTATTCTTAAATTGCTTGTGTATTATTTATTTATTTATTTATTTATTTATTTATTTATTTAATTTATATCCCACCCTTCTCCCCGAAGGGACTCAGGGCGGTGAACAGCCAAAAATTAAAATAACATACAATATAAAAGTTAAGATAACTAAAAATAAATTAAATTAATCGGCCTCCCAATTTAAAACCCCAAGCTATACAATTAAAAAACTAACCCATAAAACCTATTCAGGCCAGGCCAACTTGCTGAAATAAAAACGTCTTCAGGGCCTTATGGAAAGTGCGGAGATCCGGGATCAGCCGTATTACGGGAGGTAGCTCGTTCCAGAGGGCAGGTGCTCCCACAGAGAAGGCTCTCCCCCTGGGGGCCGCCAGCCGACATTGCTTGACCGACGGCACCCTGAGGAGGCCCTCTCTGTGAGAGCGTATTGGCCGGTGGGAGGTTATCGGTATCAGAAGGCGGTCTCGTAAATACTCTGGCCCTAAGCCATGGAGCGCTTTAAAGGTGAGAACCAACACCTTGAAGCGCATCCGGAAGACCACCGGGAGCCAGTGCAGCTCGCGCAGGAGAGATGTTATATGGGAGTGCCATGTCGCTCCCGTAATCACCCGCGTAGCCGCATCTGGACCAGTTGGAGCCTCCGGGTGCTCCTCAAGGGGAGCCCCATGTAGAGAGCGTGGCAGTAGTCCAGGCGAGAAGTGACGAGAGCATGAGTGACTGTGCATAAGGAATCCCGACTCAGAAAGGGGCGCAACTGGCGTATCAAGCGAACCTGATAAAAAGCCCCCCTGGCCACGGCCGTCATGTGCTCTTCTAAAGACAGCCGTGTGTCCAGGAGGACGAATATAAGAAAGAAATTTAAACCTAAGAGGTGGAGACTTCTGGGCTTTATCAGCACATGGTTTGAGCATGATCTTCCCAAGTATGCCAAATGACTGGGAAATGAAGTGTGGGAAAATTCCCAAATTTTCATTGGAAAGCAGGTCGAAGTTCTCCAAGGCTGATGTTGCTTTTTCAAAAGCAGTCAGATCCAGAACAGCCAAAGGCAGATGGGTGTCATTCTCAAACTAGTGCATTGGAGTAGAACCATGGATTCTGATCTTCCCAACCTCAAGGGACCGAAATTTGTATTTTCAGCAATGTAACTCTTAGATTTGCAGTGTGTTAGCAGAGTAATATCTGCTAAAACTGATCTTCTAAATTGCTTTTAATAATTTTAAAGATTTTTTTTAAATAAAATCCATTCAAATAATAATTATAATGTTTATTAAAATATTTTAATAGGGTGATATTATTTTGATACTAATTGTAGAAAGAATATGTAACCTAAAGAGATCACCTTTTAAAGAAATTGAGAGAAGGAAAAGTTATCGATAGATAAGATTTGGAGTTAAAAAGAGTTATGTTAGGACTGATGATGATAAATTTCCTGTTGTATAGAATCTCCAGGGTTAGTTTAATACTGCTTCTTTCTCCCACTCGTAGCCTGAAGATATTGGTCAGTCACCAATGGCCTCCATGCCTGATGGAGACAAAGTAGACCTGGAGGCATTCAGTGAGTTTACGAAGATCATTACCCCTGCCATCACCCGTGTGGTGGATTTTGCCAAAAAACTGCCCATGTTTTCAGAGGTAAGCAAAGGATAGTGAGCAAAGAGAAATTTGATTATGAAGTTTTGAACTTCCAGAGAATTTCTCCTTCCATTCTTGTTTTATCATAATTAAAACCATTTTGGGTTGGTTGTTCGGAAGACATAGGAATACAGTATATATGCAGTCCTCACTTTATGATTGGTTGCTTAATGACATTTCAAAGTTACGATGGAGACCCCTTCCCCAAAGATACTTACAATCTGAAGTTACAACAGCTACCACCACCCCTACAATCACATGATCACCAGCCCCAGTGGTGAAATTTAACCGGTTCTATCCGGCTCAGGCAAACCGGTAGCGCCAGTGGTGGGAGGCTCCACCCACCTGCCCGGACGTCATTATGTCCTGTTTTTGACCTTCTGCGCATACACAGAAGGCTCTGTACATGTGTGGAGGAGGTGCACGCGAGCGTAGAAACACCACTAACCCTAACTGCGCTTAGATTTGCAAACCGGTAGCAAAGGTAAATAAATTTCATCCCTGACCAGCCCCCATTTACAGGCTTTTGCAATGTTCCATGATTATGTGACTACAATTTATGTTTTTGTAGAAAACCAGTCTTCCATTTTTCCAGCAACAATGCCTCAAAGGGAACAATGGGTTCATGTAATGAGTACAACATTGACTTAATGACCACTGCAAAAAAAAAAGGTTGTAAAATCAGGTCTGGTCACTTGGTGACTCATTTTTAGACCATCATGACTTATAACCATAATGGTAGGCTTTATTATGATTATAAATTGAGGAATATTTGTATGCTCACATCATCAGTATCCACATGCCATCTCTCCTCCCATCAAGTCCTGGTCTGAAAGATTTTAGTCTTAGGAGGTTTGTCCCACCAGCCCTACTTTGGTCATATACCTTTCTTCAGCTCTTTACATACACAGGAGATAGGGAATTATGTCAAATATTATCAGTTCATCCTATGTCTGCAAAGTTAAAGGGTGATTTAAATTAAAGGAAAATGAAATTTCATAAATACTTCTATCACAGTGTCAAATGATGTTCCTCATTTTCCATGATCTTTTATGGAATGGCTCATGGATCACTACAAAAAGAATAGCTCTTGTTACTTAGAATGTGTTGCACCCCAAATAGACTTTATTAAACTGAACTTTATTGTGTTAAACTTAACCAACCAAGGAGATTCTTCTGCTATAGCAGTTTTGCTTTCAGTGATACAATCATATGGCCTAGTTAACTTTGTGATTCCTGCTTGACTGGAATCATTTTGTACAAGAGAAATCCTTAACTAAAAGAAAAAAAATATTACACCGAAGCAGCAGATTGGCAAATAGGAACTCCAGAAAGTATTGAGAGACATTTGAAGAAACATTTGGGAGAAGAGGGGGCCTAAGCCTCTGTTCATTCCCAAGGTGCATAAATGATTATGTTGCTATTAATGATTATTCCAATTCCTCTGTATCATCTATTCCAATATAACATAATATACCATCAGTTTACATCAAAAGAACAATAAATATAATAGATGAGACAAGTTAAATAACATGCACAGTCACCCAGTCCCAGTGGCGGCCATTATAATTGAAAGATTTTCTGGAATGATACCATTTTATCACAACTAAATGCCATCAAGAAGGTGTAGTAGATAGACTATAAACTGGAGGGATGGGAGAGGGAGGGAGGGAGCAAGGAAGGGAGGTGCTAAAGTCATAGAGCTGCAGTGGGGAGTCACTGCCTTCAGTCTCCTCCCAACCTTCAGCCTGAAGGAGATGATTCTGAAAACATCAGGAAGCCAAAGCATAAATGACTTTACAGTTTAAAACCAGCACTTTGAACAGTACCTGGAAATTCACTGGCAGCCAAGGCCATGCCACAAAATCACTGCTGTAGCCTATACTTGCCAGCCACAAGCCAAGGGTCCACAATGTTTTGCACCTATAGCAGTTCCTGAGTAACCTTCAAAAGCAGAATTTCCATCGCTGAGAAATGCAATTCTAAAGCATGACATCACATGAATGCATTCCTCAGTGACAGCAATCTCTGCAATCATGATTGCTGTTGTTAACTAAATTCCACCAGTCGTTAGTTGAGACCCAGCCAAATCCAAGCCATTCTCTCCCAGCTCTATGCGGCGGTTAAGTAAGAGCCAGCCTCCTCTTTAACTCCCCTCATTTGCCTAGCTCCCCTCCATCTCTGTCCTTTTTTCTTTTTTTTTTAAATTTGATTTATATGCCGCCCGGAGACTCAGGGCAGCTTACAATGCGTTAAGCAATAGCCTTCATACTTTTACATATTTATACAAAGTCATCTTATTGCCCCCACAAACTGGGTCCTCAATTTACCTACCTTAGAAAGGATGGAAAGCTGAGTCAACCTTGAGCCTGGTGAGATTCAACTTACAGTAATTGCAGACAGCTGATGTTAATCACAATGCTATTAGTCTGCTGAGCCACCAGGCCCTGGCGGCTCAGCAGCTTTTCACCAACTATCTACCCACTACTGACAGCTGCCACTGTTCTTCAGCCCTGCCCAACACCACTACACTGTGCAGACTGTTTATCAGATCGAATCTCCTTTCACACTGCCTTGTTTCACCCTAGTGTAGCCAAATCTTCTCTTCCCCCCACCCAGGGCCTCCATTTTGCCCTCCCCAAGGTATTGTTTTGCACAAGTATCCCAGGGTATGAAGGCAGGCTCCACCTAGAAAAGATATTCTTTCTCACTGGTGCAACTTGGGCCTTCTTTAATGTGACAGGCGGGCCCTGGGCAGAGCATGAATGGAAGCCTTGATTCACCCGCAAATGAAGAGTATGCAAAAAAGGCCCTGGGTGCACCAATGTGAAAAAATACTGCGGCTGTTATGGTAGAGGCATATAGTATGGCAGGCATGGGAGCAGGGAACAGAGCCACATGGTGGGTATGCAGGTTGCCAAAAGATTAAACGCAAGTAAGAGTGAATTGGCCCGAATTTTGTTCACATGATGTAGGAGTTCTGAAGTACTCAGAACTTCAAGGACAAGTTGAAAGTCCCTTCATTCAACATCGCCATAAATTCATACAGCTACTGAACAAATGGATGATTAATGAGGACTGCTTGTGTTGCAGTAGTTTAGCCTGGAGATGATAAGGATGTGGGTTGTACAAATGGAGAACATTAGGTAAATCTACACTGAGTCCTTCCCTTAAGTAATGAAAGTAGTTGGGCCTCCTTTGTCATACTTTCAGAAAGTAGTTTTCTATTTTCTTCTTCCAGTTCTATTTAATTTAGGGAAATTGAGAGGGTGGGTTTTTATAGCATGCTAAGGATTCCAGAACATTCTGAACTATCAACATCATTTTGCTCTATTCTAACTCAGCTATTATATTATACAGCATTAATGTTAACCGTGTAAAGTATCCTCTTCGATATTTCATACATGATGGCTTTAGATTGAGTGAATTAATTACCACAAACTATCTTATTATGTCTTCAAAATATTCAGGCTGGATAAATAAGCCAAAATTGTAAACCAGGGATTTGATCACAAATGCCGACGAGAAGGAATATTGTCTCAGGCTGAAAATTGTAGGAGAATTATCATGCAGTAACTTGTTGTTCGTAGATGGTCTGATTGCCATCCTGGGAGCATTTCTAACTAGCTGAGGGCAGCAAATTTCAATTAGCTTCCTGGTGAACAGAGCCAGCTGCTAAAAGAAGAACATTTCCTGCAAATAAGTGACTTTCAAAAGAAGCATCACATTTCCTACCACAACTAACTTCTGGCTCTTGATTTCCTGCTACTTTGACCTGGGGAAATGTGTAATTTTTCTATTTCTGGGGCCCATTATTGATAGCACAGCCACTCCTTGTCTCTGTATATTAAGGCACTGATTTTCTCCCCTGGAAAGAAAGAAAGAAAGAAAAAACCTTCATTCTCTGGGAGGTGGGGTAAGATCTTATTTTGCTCCAGTGGAGACCATCCTAAAAAACCATGTATGCTGGAGCCAAGATGATCATGCTTCTCTCTGCCTTTAGCTGCCTTGTGAGGACCAGATCATCCTTTTGAAAGGCTGCTGCATGGAGATTATGTCACTGCGGGCAGCTGTGCGTTATGACCCTGAAAGCGAAACCCTGACGCTCAGTGGTGAAATGGCCGTCAAGCGGGAGCAGCTGAAGAACGGTGGCTTGGGCGTAGTATCAGATGCCATCTTTGATCTGGGAAAATCCCTCTCTGCCTTCAGCCTGGATGACACTGAAGTGGCACTACTCCAGGCTGTGCTGCTCATGTCCTCAGGTATGCGTGCGGGATGAATTATGCTCTCAGTGTGCCCCTTATGTCATTGGCATTATGCAAACATAAACAAGTCAGACTAAGGCTGCACATAGCTCAGTATTATCCCTATTAATTATCAATAGCTTTGTAAGAATTCAGATTAAAGTTGTACATTGCGAGAAGGTAGAGCCTGAACTTTTGGCTGCTTGTGGGTATATATATATATATATATGTTTTTCTTCTAGCCAGGTTTTCCCTACGTAGCCAAGGTTTTTTTTTGTAGCTCCAGCTCAGTAGAATCTCATCTACTCGGTTCTGGGCTTTTTTCTTTTCTAACACCTAGCAAGCTATTTACAGTTTTCCAAATCTCAGCTACAGCAGAATATGTGTCACATTTGTGGAATTAGGAGATGCTGTACCTGGCTGGGGAATGGTTGGAGGATTAAAAGGATATTAAATAATGAAGAAGAGGATTAATTTAATGGCTTCAGTCAGTCAGTTAGTTGTAGGATTAGTTAAAGTGGCCTTTGGATGTGTTGAAAAATTGAACTCAAGTTTAATGTTATTAACTGGACTGCGTCATTATGTTCAGGTGAGAAGGTTGCACTGAGAAACTAGAGAAAGGAAGCTTGGTCAGTTTAATTTGAGGGACATCTTGAAGATAGAATTGAGTGATTCAGTTATATTAGAACTGTCAATAAGCAATTCTATCAAGTGATGCTTAGTGACAGGTGCACTCCCAATAATAGTTATTAAATGAGGGCTACCTGTATTCTCTTTCTGAAGATCTTTATAAGATAGCTGTAAGCAGTGAGCAAGAGCGACTTTTAATCTCTGGAATCTCTTCATAGACATAGAAAAACTGTATATCTAAAACACTAGAGTAGGACTAGGGAACTTTAATCCTTTGGGTCTAAAATAGCCAGTCAGGCCAGTTTCTACAGACTTTGACAAAGATCTTATCCTGTCTCACAAAGTCTTTGTCTCTTCCTACAAGCACATTTGTGGTGCTCTCTTTTATGGGGGTAGGAGAGTAGAAAAACTAAGGAGCTGAACTTCAGGTGCTGTGCTTTGTCCATATGGAGGACACAGAGTTAATTCTGATCTGAGCAATGAGGGTTGGTAGATTTAGTGAGTCAGAAAGGTAACTTCAGGTTGGGGCAACTTGGTTAATTGCAGAGGGACAAATTTACACATGCAGCTTCAGCCTTCCTGACATGTGTCCTCTTTTCCGTTTATTTTGCAGATCGCAGTGGGCTAATTTGCGTTGATAAGATTGAAAAATGCCAAGAGACCTATCTGCTGGCATTTGAACACTACATCAATTATCGCAAACACAACATTCCCCACTTCTGGCCCAAGCTCCTCATGAAGGTGACTGACCTGCGCATGATTGGGGCTTGCCATGCCAGCCGCTTCCTGCACATGAAGGTGGAATGCCCCACGGAGCTCTTCCCCCCACTCTTCCTCGAGGTCTTTGAGGATCAGGAAGTTTAGGATGTGAGGAGGGATGGAGGGAGGGGGCAAACAGGGTGGCGTGGGCGAATTGGGGACATGGGGCAATTTGGGGCTGGGGCGATGTCTGGACTTGGGTCACGAGGCCCTCACCTCATCACCTCGGACACAACAGATTTTCATTGTTTTGTTCTGTTTTGTTGGTTTCATTTTTTTTCCTTTTCCTTTTTTTTTCGTTTTGTTTTTCTAAATATTGCACGTCAGCATCAATGAGTCCCCTGGATAGGGGAAGCAAGGGCATCCTTGGTAGGGAGGGTGGGCCATGAAAAAGTCAAAGCTATACAAAATCTGGGTTATGAGGTAGACATGTGCAGTAGCCAACACATTCTTTATCTAGGCAGATTTTTAAAAAAAAAAAAATAAGTGGACAATACAATTCCCACCTGCCCTCTTGTTATGTCCCCTGTTGTCCAAAGTCATCTTTCCAGGGTGAAATGTCTGTCTTAAACTTTAACATAAAAAAGAGAAAAACAATCCATATATTATTCTCTCCCCTCCCCCTGTCAAAATGCTTTGCCTTTCTCCCCTTCTTTAAAGAAAAGTTTTCTGCCCCCCCTCCCCCCGCCCACAACACTGGAAGCAATTGGCACCTCTTGAGCCCTGATCAAACCTCTCTCGTTTAAACGGACTTGATTACCAATATATATAAATATATATACTTATAAATATATATATATATTCTTTTGCACATAACAGTCCCAGGAAACGTCAGAGTGTGTTTGGTTGTTGTTTTTTTCTTTAAGAACTTTAGCATTTAGTTATCCTCCCTGGGAGGCTAAAATCGAAAATGCACTTTTTTTTGTAAAAGAAAGAAATGGAACAGAGAGAGAGAGAGAGAGAGAGAGAGAGGAAAAGAGAAAACCTATTAAATAATTAGGGGCAGGTGGGAGGAGGAAGGTCAGAGATGTTTTGGCAAAAAAAGAGAATAAACCTAAATTGAGGCTGAAGGTCCACATGTGAAGGACAAATGCACTTTGAGTGAGGTAAAAATCCTTCCCCTCAGCTCCTCCCTTAATGGGAAAATAAGTGACTCAATTATTAAAAAAAAAAAAAAAAGATCTATTTTATATTGCTTTGAATGGCACTGCAGGGCTTGCCTCTTAAGAGATGCCTCCTTTGTGTTCCAGTGTTGAGAGGTATATTCATCAGCCTTCCCACTTGCCCTGATGTCCTCTTCCCTCCCCAAAGCTTCAGCCAATCTACCTCCATGTTCAGCAAGGTGGGTGGATTTAACAGATTCCCACCCACACCTGCTGCCCCATCCCAGCTGAAAGGCTGCATGCAATGTTCCCACTGGGCTTTGAAACAGCCCTTGCTAATTCTTTGCACACGCTTTCCCACGCCACGTGGCGGTACACTTCTTTCTGCACTAGTATTCTCGCTGCCCTGCTGCACCCTCCCTTCAATGCCCTTCTCTCTGGGGAAGAAACGAGGAGAAATCCTAACCCTTCAGTGCTCCAAGAGAATCAAAATTAGGTTTCAATTCTTTCTTATTTGGGGCGGGGGGATGGCACTTAGCAATACAGAAAACATGAAGACAGTGAAATTCATGGGGACATGGCACACCCTTTCCAACCCAGGATTGTACAGCCTTTCTGTATTAAGAGGTTGTGGGCTCTGCATAATAATTTCTCTTTCTCCTACAGCATTCCATGTCCCCTGCACTTCTAAATTACTGGCCCTTTTGTATCTGTGCACATGGGAAGAAAAGGCAAAGGTTTCTCTTATAAGGCCTGTTGGAAAGGTTGTCCTGGCCTGATTAAGTCTAATTTTCCCTTTCAGAGGGGCGCTAGATCAATGAAATAATATTCAAATGCACTTCCTTGCACAAAAGGAGGATCATTCTGCCTAACTTGAACTGTCATGGGCAGAGCAATGCCCCAAGCCTCAGGTTGCATGAACTGTATCAGAGGTGAACCAGTTGGGAACTTGGAGGCAGGCTACCCACATTTGTAAAACTGAGTTGGCCAAGCTGGCAAGAGAAAAACACCTCAAGTTTTTCAAGTTAGATATTGTTTCCATTTGATTTCAACTTCCCCCCACCCCTCATTATTTAGTGTTGTGCTTATGTGGTTGTAACTGGTTGTTGGAAAATAGAACCTCTGAAGGTCTGGCCAGGAGTTAGCTTTATGGGAACATCATTTGGAGAAGGGGAATAGTATAAATGTTGATCGACCAGGCCTAACAACCCCATTTCAATAGCCACCAGCCCTACCTTTAATCCTGTATTTTTGCCTCTTGGCTGATGCTTGGGGAAGGTGGAGCAATTGGTATCTAGGGCCATATTTGACATTGGACATCCACTCTATGAATTCCCACTCTAAAGATTCACCCTTGGAGGAGGTATTTCTAAAGAAAAACAAGATAACAACCACGAGCTTCCCGCTTTCTTCCTATCTTTTTCACCTTTAATGCAAGCCAGACTGTGATCACCTTAATGCAAGTATTTTGGCACTTAACACTGTTAATAGATCAGACTTCTCTATCTCTCCTAAATGGCTTTATCAGTGATAGATCCATTTCTCGTCAACTTAATAGCCAGACTTTTTTTCTTTTTCTGCAACTGTAATATAATGTTATTCGGGAGAGGGGTATATTTTTATTCCCCCCTTCCCTTGTTCTTTCTCTCTGTCACATGGTTTCCGTTGGAAAAAAAAAAACCCTTTTTACCTCTTACCTCATTCAAGACGCCGTGGGGAATGTTATATGATGGGTTGGGTACATGTTGGATGTACCATCTGAAGGTTCAGAGGCCGGCGCATGGAGAACTCAGCTCCAATTTAAGCTAATATACAGAAATTATATATATATACACACACACACACATATATATATATAAATATGTATAATTTTTTTTAATTAAGAAGAAAAATCTTTGTACGGGTCTGTTCACAAAAAAGAAAAATCACACAAACAAAAATTTGGGTTGGAAAAAACATAATGCTTTTTTGTTTGTTTGTTTGATTTTTGCTTTATTTTTATCATTTTTAAATGACATGGGGTTAAATGGGGAAGTAATTGCTGGGCTTGAATTGAAAGGAGTCTGGGGTCATAAATGCCAGCAGTCATACTGGATAATATTCAAGGCAATGCCTGTTCCCCAGTCATCAAATGTGATGTTGAATACAGATCTTAACAGTCTCATGTTTTTTTTTTTCTTAAAAAAAAAAAGCAAGTTTCTAACTTGTATGGTAGTGAAGACAGCTTATGAAGCCCAATGAAACCTCAGAACAGACCTTAACTGGGATTTCCAGTGGTGTGTGGAATACATACCTCTGGTGCAGAAACAGAATACATTATGCAAAATAAGCCCACATTTGCGGTTTTTCTTAATTATTCCATTATTCTTAGAGCAGCATTCAGCTTTTCTTGATGTGGGAGTTAGATGTTTGTGTTTAAAGTGCAGAGGAAACACCATGCCCAGTTGTTATTCCACCAGCTATTTCCCCAAGGAATAAAACTGGGTCCATTGAAATAATGTATCTTGAGAAGATGCAGAAGTTTTGCCTTGAAGATATGAGCTAATCTTGGATTTCTTTGAGGGAGAAAACTTCTTTTGTTCAGTGTAGAGGCTGAAGAAACTTGCCTGATACTATCCCCAAAGCCTCATATCCATGCAATAACAATTTGAAAAGCATCCAAAGATGAGGAACTTTATAGCCTGGTTGGCTAATTTCAAAGACTGGTGTTTTCTTATTTTACTTATGTCACAACATGCTATTCCCCGTACACCTACACAATATGCACATGGCTTATTAGAAACCTAAATTCCTTCATACTTAATCCAGCTTTTCTGAAAAATAGCTAGTTTACTCAAACCACTTAACACTGCCCCTTCTTGCTGCAACCCTCATTGTTCTGCCCTTCTTTAATATTACCCACCCCTTCTAAAATCTGTATCGGTCCCATGAAACAGGCTTGCAAGACTTTGGTAAACAGTTCCCCTCTTACATTAATCTTCCCTGTGCAATAAAATGAGGTATGTGTGCTTGTGTGTATGAGAGAGCATGTGTGTTGTGTTTGTTCCTGTGTCTGTGAGAGACAGAGGTTAATTAGGCTGAACTCCTAACCAGAAGGAAATCCTACCAAAATCACTGGATTTGCTTCAACATGGCCATTAAAATTCTTTTGCTAGGCCCTGATCCTATGTTTTAAAGGTTTGACGGAAAATACACCCTTTGGACTTGAATCAAAGACTCGCTTTATGGACATAAGTTTCTGCCTTAAATGGAAGCAGACCAGTGTCCTCTGTAGCTCCGTATTCTCCTTGGGCGGGCAGCAGTCCCCAATGCTTCAGGCCATTTTCCCCAGCGATGGCACCTGAGAATCAAGCAGAATGTGAGGCTGGAGAGCAGTGAAATGAAGTGATCTGACTGTTTGGGTTTCAAGCAATCTCCACAAAAGGTAGGGCCACATTTTCTACTTCCTTATGTAGAGAGTGAAAGACAGATTCTGGTAATTGGGGATGCTACGAACTGAATGTGGGACCCCTCTGGTGCCATGCAAGTGCTCCGCCACAGAAATTCATATAGTACTTATCCATGGAGGTTTATATAGCACTTATTCACAAGAACAGCTTTTGCTTAGTTCCAGGTTGGAGATTTTGTCTGCTATATCTACTTTTGATGGTGTAATTGGGTAATGTTAGACCATGGAAACAATTACCTTGAAGGAGTATTCAGTAAGCGAAGCACAGTATTCCATTAAAACAGGAGGAATTGGCTGTGATCTGTAGGTGCCTCTGTACTGTCCTTGTTTTGCTTCAGGAGCCCAGAGTTCCTATGCTAAGATCATCACAATTTAGTAAGTTTTTAAATAGTGCCCAGTGTTAGTATAACCATCCAAAGCAGCTTCCCCCTTTTCTTGATAGACTTTTTTCATGCAATCATTACTCTTAGCCTACTGCATTATTCTTAGGCTGGTTTCATATGTTATGTTAAGATACAAAGTGATTTTCCTTGATTTTAGCTTAACACGTTGTATGAAACTTGGCCATCTTTTTAAGCCATAATTCATGGTTTAGCATGTTTTATGAACTCAGTTAATTTATTCATTAAATCATGGTTAAAACATATAATGTGTGAACCCAGCCTTAATCTGCTGCTTTCCCACTATGCAAGACCCATTCTTATTCAGAATTAAATATGGATGTTTCCCTATAAGGCCATAAGGTTCCTTAGCTTTTTTCAATGCTTTCTTTCCATGGCTCTTCCAGTGGAAATTTCTGCAGATGTGAGTAGTAGGAACTGGCTTTCTGGCCAGAAAAGAGTTACAACAAAAGCTGAAAGCTGAAACTGAAACTCACTGAATAAATAAAATAGAATATTAGGTATTGGTTTGTGACTCCCACCTGCTTGTAACTCCTGCATTATCCTTTAACTTTATGTAGTCTTGTTAAACAGTCTTGTTAAAACAGCAGTATGCTGTACCAGCTTTTCAGGCAGGAGCCTTTTTCTATTTAACAATTTTCCAATTGTATTTTAAAAATCAATCTGTTATTACTGCAATAGTATTTTAGCACCACACCCACCCAGTGCCCATGATTGGGCTGGTGGCATACAACTATTGTAAAGAAAGGAAACGAAAAAGCTCCTTAAGTTTCTATGCATCTCAGGGACTTGGCTTGAAATCAGATCTCTGAGATGTGTATTCTCTAACTGGAATATTGAATAAACCTTGACAAGGAAAAAGACATTCAGAATTATCCATGTAATCAGGAATTGAACTCAACCCAAGCTACTCTTTTATCTTTTTATACACTTCCCCCCCATCTATTTATTCATTCCAAACTAAAAAGATTATAATGCATCCCAGATATCACCGAAACATGTCAAAAAGTGTTTACTGGCTAACTAATTTTCTATCCTTATTCATATTTCATTCAGGGAGAGGTACAGCTTTCACTAATGTATCTGCACTACACAAAGCTGGTTAGTATTCCCAAGCCATTCTTATCCATTTCAGAAATTGAGATGCTTGGCAAGGTATGAAATTTCTAAGCCTCAAGCATGTTTGTTAGCATATGCCTTCCATACTGATGATTTTATGTTATGAATGA